TACCACCTTTGAATACGAAATACACAAGCTTAGCAACTAGCAAAAAGTCTTATTTCTTGAAGTGATCTTCAAAAAACCTTCTGGTCCTCGACTCCAAAATCGATTCCTTCGCAAGTGCACCCTCGGCCCGAAATGGAAAGCGTGGTTCTTGTGTACGTAATCCAACCCCCAAAAGAAACATCCCCCCTGGGAACGCCCGCGCTACATAATTCAATGGTTTAATGTTTAAAAGGGCCCAGCCACTGCTGCGAGGGACATCCAGGGATATTCGATTGATATTTTTTTACCAGCGTCGGGGATCGATCGGGTTCGTCGACGCACGTACGCGGGAGACCGTTCCTAGCCGCCCCGCAGCTCCCTCCTTTATTATTGTACCAAGTGTCTTTTCTTATCGAGCATCTTCGACCAGCTCTCCTCTCTATATCGAATTCGAGGCACGCCGAGCGCATTTATCAACCTACACACGTTGTGTGCGCCTGAAACGGCGAATGGAGGAGGGATAGAGGTACCATGAAGGATACAGGTGGGGAAAAAGGACGAGGGTGGAGAGAGGGGAAACGGGTGCGAGGTGGAGGGATCGAGAAACAGCGAGAGAAGAAGCTAACAAGAGGGACGCGCCGATTTTAATGAAACCTCGCAGGTAGATGAAGAGTTGAAAAATATTTCATTCGAATGTAATGCTTTTTATCTATATCCTTCTGTTTTTAACTAATTATTCCTCTACTGTGTAGATTTTCTTTACCTTCTTATAATTGAAGGTGTTACTGGACCTGTAGAGAGCTATCGAACCAAAGATAAGCAAAATTTTAAAGAAAGAATAAAAGATAAACAGTTAGTTCGTTATAAAGAATATTTGGACAACTGAATAATTCTAAATAATTTTCCCTTTCCTGAAAAGATTATAAAAAAATTCCTCCAGTTGGGTTAGTCCAGCGACTCTGCTACGCAAATTATTAATTCTACTGGTACCAAGCGTCCATTAATAAATGAAAAGCTGCAATGCCTAGAGTGGAATGCTTTTTTACCGAAAGGAAATAAGTAATCGCAAACTGGGAAAACAGGAAAACGCTGGAAAATGGAAAAGTCCGACGAATGTAAAATGGAATGGGAGAGAGACGAACGAAGCGAGCATTTACACCCGCGAAAATGACGACCACGCGTGGGAGGCGATCCGCATGCGAGCACGTGTGCTTTTCGTTGCTCGAACGATCGTGTACGTGACTTCGCATGAGCTTGTCCCTAGGCGCGCAGCTAGCCAAATGTCACGTTTGATTCTGTGTACTTAAGTTTACGCGTACGTTCGCGCCCACGCTTCCAGCCAGCCAGTTTCGACGTTACGTCGTCGCGGAATGGAATCTTAGGAACCCTTACGAACTCGTAGGAATTCGATCGTAAAACGCTGATGCTCGCAACAAAGGAGGAACGCGCGATCAGATACGTTTGATGAAGAACCAACCCCTTTGATGCCTGGTGGAAAGGGCTCGAGATCAAAATTACGTCTGATTCCAAGATACAGCCGCATCGACTCCAGAAACTTAGAGACGAAGTGGTTCGTATTAGTTCACGCGGCATATTCCTAAAGCTCGTCGGTGTTTCATCCGCGGCAGCTTCCACGAGCGCAGCGTCGCGATTCTTTAACGATGTCGAGCGTCGTCGAGGAAGAGGCCGAAACAAGCAAGCAGCCAGGCGGTTGGGGAAGCGGAGAGAGCGCGCAGCAGAAGAAAGTCGACACTCTCAAACGAAAACTCCGGCCGCATCCAGCGATGGGGGGAGTTTGCATCGATCGATGGAGATAAAAGCGGTGTATCAGAGTGCGGTAGAATTAGAAACGAGGGAGGAGAGGCTTCGCGGAACAGGGGGAGGCAAAAAAAAAAGGAAAGTGACGCACAAAAAGAACATATTTCTTTTTCCCAACAGCCGCGAGATCCAGAAGCGTTTCTCGGCGTTCGTTTTTCGCCTCGGTCGACTAACAGGATTTCATCTGCGAGAGACGTTCTCAGAAGCCTAGACCAGACGCGTACACCGTCACGGGGGCGCGTAATGACGATGACACAGATGACGTTGACGGGGGAAAAGGGAACTAGGGTGAGCCGCGCATCAAACGAAAGCTGCAGACCTACGTCCCACGCGTCGTTCGCGTGAAATAGAAGCGCGACTTCGAGGAGGGTCAACGTTCAGAGTCGAGTTATAAACGAGACCAAGACGAGCCGGGGAAATACTTATTACTCTTCTTTTTCCCCTCTACATCGCTGGGCAAAGAATTCGTCCCTTTCTCGAGGGCTTCGAGCGTAGCGAGGCCGCGACTCGACGGAAAAGCGACGACGGAGCGTCGTTTCAGAAGTTGGAAATCAAGGAAATTCCTGAATGTATGCCTGGACGTGATGGTCCACTCGTTAGGGAGCTGAGGGACGTTGCATCTGGAGCAGATGGAGTTATTAGCAGGACCTGTCGGGAAATTGATCTGAAATTCTGAGTAATGTGTATATCATAGGAGAGGTACACTTGAGATAAAGGCGATATATATGTGGTTTGGCTGACAGAAGGTAGGAAGGTACAACAGAGGTCTCAGACGTGTAAGTAACACTAGTATAGAAACTAGTATAGTGGTCCAATATGGCCCTAAGAGAGATAATGTAGAGATAACATTCGTATGGAAGTAACCACCGAAACAGTGAGAGTGAGGAAAATACAATCGATCCCATAAATATTTGTACCCTCTATGTATTGTATATTGAAGAAATTTGTCTAAATTAATAGTTTTAATATCACTAAATGAATGTTTCATTTCAAATATGTATATGAATAAGCATATACATCTATATATTTATGTAAACATCACAATTTTTATACAAACATACATTTTGAAACATCAAACCAATCATTTAATTTAAACAAACTTCTTCAATAGACATAGATGTTTACAGTAGCTTTACAAGAGCACTGTGATGTATGTGCATAGGACTTAGAGAGACAGAGAGGTATGGATAACTTGAAATAATACCGCCTGTTGATCTCTACTCTTGTAACTAATATTTCCAAAAATTGGCTTGTGATGCTACGACTTCTGGTCCTCGAAACGCTTCCTGGATTAGCTTTGGCACGATGTTAGGAACGAGAGAAACATTCGATTGTTCGAGACACAGCTTTGTTCTAAAAGTTATCATTGTGATGTCTAGTCTACGTATGACATCTTGGACGATATCTAGCCTACATGTTGGACTTTTATATAAGTATAAACAGCGAAGATATTAACTTGTCGGTAAGGAATCTTGTCTGTTTTAAATTAAAGGAAAGAGTGCGTGGACAGGACTGCGAAAAGATACGAGGCACGCGAGGAGGCTCTCAATTCGAATTTATTAATTCCGTCTTGAGCAAACACAGTCGTTCAAATAATAAAAATCCCAATTGACATCGGCGCGACAAGTCAATCTCTTTGATCTTTTATTTCTGGGTAAAAAGAATATTCTATATGAGTAAACAAAATCTAAAAGTTGCAGAAGCCACTTCAAAAAATCGGTATTTCTTCGTGGAAAAAAATACACATTATATCGAAACATGTACAAATACCTAGGCAAAGTTTGAAGAAACTGCCATCATCGCGTTCCGAGTAAAAATTTCTGGAAGACCTCTGCTCATACTTCCAGAAAGATTCTCTTGTAAAGACGGTCTCGCGGTAACGCCCGTTGACTTTAATTAGTTAATAGCACCGGGACGGATAGAGCTTATCAGCGTTCACCCGGGACCGAGTCCTCGAGAAACTGTACCCGGTATTAAATTGCTTAAAGTAAATACTTGAATGAAATACAGTTCAACCTCAGTGTCGAAACCGCGCGCATGTCGAGTATCGCGCGCAAGAGCGCGACCGTGTCCCTCGTCGCTGGAGCAACGCGATGAAAAAAAAGGAGAAAAAAAAAGGAAATGAGTAGAACAACCGCCAGAAGGATCCTCGAATCGCTGGAAGAAAGGCTAACCGACTAGAGGGCTCGATTGCGAGCGTGTAAGTAGTGCTAATTAAAGTAAGTGGCCGAACAGAGCTCTTCGTCGAGCTCCGCCACCAGGAACACGTATATTATATGAGCGCTAGTGGTTTGGTTTCTTTGAAAAAATAGCGTTAGAAGAGGCCTCAGCGTCTACGAAACGAAGCAAGAGGTTGAACAGCCTGTATCGTCGTGTGTCATATAGTTTCATGGGCGTTTCGAGTTTGGACGTAGAGAAAATACGAGTGAACTTGTTTGGAGAAGCCCATCCTCGTTGATATGTGAGAAGTCACAAGTATCGAGAGATTCCATTATAATTACCATTCTTCTTTGGACACTATTCTACCTGCATATCGCCTCAGCGATTAATCTCGCGCCAAAGAAACGTATTTATTCGCTACAGACACTCGGAGGGCGCGAAAGAGGAATTTCTACGCGTTCCATCCGCTATTTCCCGTCGATGAAAACAGTTTGATTAATGAACCGAGGTCTCAGCGACTGGCAAAAGAGATGGTTGATAATCTCACTCGATATCCGACGCTGTTGTGCATCGATCACCGGCGTTATTAATCGCCACGATTCGATTCTCCAGATCTTATTTCCTTCGTGCGCGCTTTGCACCGTGATCAGACACCCTAACGCAACAAATCACAAATCGACGAACTAATCCGTTGAAACCTGTAAAGATTCGCGTTCAATTTAATCGACGCTCCATCAATTCCTGTCCAATTCGTCCGGGATGGTTTGAAATTCTTATCTCACCCTCGGATGATCTTATTTGAAATTCTTGATCTTTGAACCGAAATTATTTTGCATGTAATGCGACTGATGAGTAGTTCATATTCTGTTATATTCGATGCTAATACTGTAATGTGTATAATTCACATAAAATAATTAGCAAGGAGAGCATGCAGTTAAATAAATATCAATTGACCCCAAACTATTCATTTTAATCACTCGCGATTGGTGTCGCGAGAATTGTTATTAATTGTATTCAAGGAGAGAAGAAGAAAATTGTCTTACCACCGAAGAGCGCAGTTGGATCAAGCAACGGATTGGCCTGGTCCGCCTGGAGTTTCTCGGAGGCGGAGGTGGCGCCTGGGGTCGCCGTGGCCGCCGCTTCACCTCCGCCACCTCCGCCCGATGCGGAGTTCTCCTTCTCCATACCAGTCCCCTGAAAACATGCATCAGCGTTTCGTTAGAGCCGTGGATTTCCTACAACGCGGTGAAACGATTCCGTTTTCGGATGGGGTGGGTAGCAAATGGACGACCAAGGCTGGAGGGAAATGGTCGAATATGTTCACCGTGGAAAGCTGGTGGGAGCTCGCGAAACAGTGCGAAACATCTCGCAAAATAAAATAGCACGTCCTACCAAAAAGGAGGATCTCGGTTTCTGGAACTCTAGTTTCACTTGGAATCTTTGAAATGTTCAGGAATTATATTCGTAATTGTTTGTGGTATTCTTGTGGTCTAGCTATGAAAACAGTGTAAGAGAAATATCGCGGGTTGATGACAGAGACGATTTTCTTTTAGAGAAGGGCGAGTTGGGGAAGGTAGCCGAAATTTTTTGCAGGGGAAACTGATGGGAGCTCGTGACAGGGCGGAACTCTGCGGAAAGGGAAATAATAGAGCTGATCAGGCTGAACTTTTTCGTGGGGGTCGCGAGGATTGAAGGGTGGTAGTTCGGGGGTGACTTATTGTCGTGGATATGGCAACATATTTCTGGGGTTCTTAACTGCGAATCAATTTTCCATTATGCGTACGTATAGTTAATAACATTTTAAAGAAACGATGGTTACATGTAAGACAGAGGATCTTTAAATAAATAAATAAATAGGATACTTTTTATCAGTAAAGAAATTTGTTATGAAACTCCCAATGAACTGATGCAATTGACTTACAAAGAATAAACCACGCACATCTCTTCATTGTTGTCGGTATCAAATTGTTTACACGCGTTTAGGAATCAAATAAACTGCTACGCAGTTCACCGTGTAATAATTCGTGTAAATCAATGAGCAATAAGCCCAGCAATAATAACGTCGCCTTCGCTGAAACGCCACTGTATTCGTAATTTTATTGTCCATAAAGCGGAACGGTGCCGAGCTGCTATAGTGGATCTTCGCAGACCTTGAACTTTTGACGCCAGAGTTATGGTAACGACATTCCACGGCGAAAGTATTAAAAACGAGTCCAAAAACCAACAACACGAACGGCCTGGTGCATTTACGTAAACGAATATTCAAGATCGAGCTTTCTGATACAGATGAATCGTCCACTTGGATCCATATCGTTAGTTAATATATACCAAGCCAAATCCTGAACGCATTCAAATTTCCTCCTAAAACAAATAATAAATAAATAAAATCTGAGAAAAAGTCCGATCGTTGCGCGCGATTTCGCAGAAAATATTTGACACCTCGTTGAAAAAAAAAGAATATGAATAGTCTGCGCAACGTCTGGATTCCAGTTAATTATGTTAATAAGCCGACGCGGTGTCTCGAAACCCACGACGATAATCTCCTCCCCCCCCCCCCCTCCCCGCCCCTTCGACGTGTCCTGATGTTCATCGCGGCAGACACAACGAGGCAGAAAAATCCACGTTAATATTTCAGTCACGCGCATACGTAAGCACGTCGGTGACTCGCATGTTCATTCTCGATGACTGTTTACCAGTCGAAGAAAGGCTTCCTCGAGGAGCGCTTTAAATAAAGGCCGTTCTCCCCTCCACCGGTTTCCCCTCCAGCGCTACGATCAGCTGACTGGCGCGCACTCCCCTCCCTCGGTCGCCCAGCTGTTGTATAAATATACATTGGTTACAACGTTGAGTCAGGTTAGGCTGATGCTAGGCTAGACACCGGCACTGCAGCCACCGTTATTATCATACAGTGGGTACTGCCAGTGGCGGTTAGGTATGGCTCGACGCGTGCGTCGCAATACCGCACAGACGTCGTCGACACCACAGTTATCATTTTTTCGCTCAGCCTTATTTCTTCTCTTGGTAACTTGGAATACTATACGACATCGACGTTTCTGGTAATGGTGCCAAGAAAACATGTAGTTCCAAGCAGATTCTAAGAGAATTGTTCTAATAACTATCTTAATAGACGCAGGAAAAAAAATTAATATGCTCCAAAAATGAAGATGTAATCCCTCTGAAGTGTTATTTAAGAAATCCTGCGACAGATGATAAACTATACCACGCTCTGGCCTCCGTTATCCCTCGCGCCAGATTCATGCAACGCGACTCGAATTAGATTAAGATAAATAAAAAGTAAAGCGTTCGCCGGATAGGCGAGCGAAGCAGCGCGCTGTCGCTGGGGCGTCGCTAAAAATTCGTCGCTCGCAATCGCAACGTTCCCCGGATACCCGGTCCATGCGGGGAATACCAAAGTCCCTCGTATGAGCGTCGAACTCCCGGTAGCCAGAATATCGAGAGGGAGGGGGTTTCCCGCCGCGACGCTACCCGGTTTCCAGCCGCGCGAGCACTTCGTGGCGCTCGTAAATTGGCGAGAGAGAAGCGACGACGACGAACAAGAGGGAAGACCTCCACGGTTAGCGAGTGGGAATCAGGGAACGGCTGTAGCCAGAGAGGTGACGACGCTGTACAACGAAGACGGAGCGAGAGGAGAGAAAGGCGGCGAGAGGGTCGACAGGATCCCAAGACGAGAGCAAAAGGAGGAGACAAGACCCGACCATCGATTTCTCGACCGGTGTGTTACGCTCTTTCGACCAGGAAAAACTTGACGCTTCGAGGATCCGCGAAAGTATACCGAGTCCAGAGAAAAATGGCAGACCAGGGGTCATTCCCGCGCGAAATCGACCGATTTCTTGCACTTCGCGTCACGGGATTTTGACGAAATTGGAATATCGTGGGGCCCGCACGAAATTAGGGGCGTGGGTGGTGTTTAAGTCATCATTGTGTTGCACTCGTGTGCGTTTGAGAGGTAGGACACGTCGTATTGTGCGAAACGTGTCGAAACATGTTGATTAGGAATAATAAATTGTGAACTACGATGGAGTCCACGTGGAATTAGAAGGGGTAGACAACAACTTAAAAAGACACAAATAAATGGCCCCGTACGATTGATACGAATACCTTCCTGCCCAAATTCCAAAGTCAAATAAAAGGTCCTCCAGCGATTCAAACTTCCATTGGGCAATCAGAAGAAGCATAAATCACTCGACAGGATGCACGCTAAACGGGAGACCCGCTAACCTAGATCCCGAACGTTCCCGAAACTTGTGCGGTATCAACCCACGGCTAAATCGAGCGCAAACAACACGCTTACCAAATAACTATTGTTCGGAAGAAGAATTGAACCGAGGTTAAAGCGCGCTCCTGGAGAAAGGGTTAATAACGTACGATGCGCGACGTGGCCAATATTTTTCCTCAAAGGGGCGGAAAAGAAAAATGGGGACTGGTCGGGGGCGCGCAACAATAACATGGAAATAGATACGAGGGGTCGGAGGTTGGGGAGTGGACACGTCGTCTCGTATATCTTGCCGAACACGCGGGCAAACCGGCCCTTTTCTTTTTCGCTGGTGCATCGTGAAAAGTTTATCGGTTATTGCGAAGCGAGCATAGTGACCCGGACACACCGCTATGAAACTTTTCCCACCGTGGAGGAAAACTTCGCCCTTTCATGATTGACTGTGGCGCACTGCGCCGACCATTCTTTGAGCGTTTTCACGGGAATATCGATTCGATCGTAGATATTTCGTTCCTGCGCGGACAGGAATTTCTCGGCCCACTATTTCACCACCACCACCACCACCACCACCCCCCGGTGAACATACACGATGGCTTTCCGCGAGGATTCTTCGATAAACGACGACAAGGGAGCATGTAAAAAGCCTCGCCTCCGCGGACGTGGAGAAATCGTGCTTTGCGGGGGGAAGTCATTTTATGTTGGATCGTTATTTGGATGTGTTTAATTGGAGACATAATGGGAAATTTGGAGGACTCGTCTCTGTGACAAATTTCAACGATTCTTCTTCTTGAAAAGCACGCATACGGGTGGTAATTTCAATTAGAATTTTTAGTTTTATTCGTTTTAGCTGCCATTCTTTCGTTTGAAATTCGCTGTATAACTGGTTGTCGTCTTGAAAGCAGTAATTTATTCATCATAAGAGTCTCTATTATGTCAGTCCTGCAGGACTGATACCATCTGTATATTTTGTAAATTATTTATAACGATCCTTACGTTCAACGGAGTAAAATACATTACACACCTGCAACAACCATTCATCCCCCGTCCGCGAACAGGTGATTTCGTTTCCGCTAAAATTTTATTTGCCCGTTCCGAGCGTGCAACAAAAGCTTCGGATACCGTATGAAGCGAGAAACGTTAAACAAAGCGAGAATTATTTACTGATCAATATATACGATAAACTCCACCGGCTATTATTTGCATAATGATTTATATTTTATTTGTAGATTTCGCTCGTTTGATCAAGACCGCGCGTGTGTTTGCCAGCTTCTATCCTTATTCGATATCCAAACTTGTCCCACGGAACAATACCCGTTCGCAAATAATAAACGATATTGTATTTTCACGTGCGCGTTGATACGACTGATTATAAAATTTTCACACACTTTTCGTCACAATTTCCACCTGGATCTTCATTTCAACGAATGTACATGTATTCACTCGCCCTTGCACAAAATTCTACGAATTTCGTTTTATAAAAAAAATGCTTTTTTTTACTAAAGTTTTTACTAATATTTTTCAATGTTAACTCAAAGTACCTATCTATGTTATACTTTTCCAGACCTTGATCGACAATTATACTAAAGAGTGCAAGTCTTCGAGGCATCGCGTTGGAGCACGATTCTAAAGAAAACACCGCAGGAATTCGACTTCGACAACCAATTGGCGCTAAATGCATCGATAATTAGGACACATTCGCCTCACCCTTGTCCTAATTTTGACCCAACTCTAAAAGTCGCCGTGTGGCTTATGAAACGCTGGCAGCGTAAAATTTCCCTGGCGTTCTGCGTCGAATCGAGCGAAGGGAAGCGTCTGGCCAGTAATTGACGGAGATAAAACGATATCTACGTTGCGGCGCAATGCGAGCGACTGCGGACTGCGCGTAATTTCGCCGTTGGTGACGCATCGTCTATAAAAGCTGTTTCACCCGGGACGCGACGCCTACAGGAAGCGTCGGTAT